CATGAGATGCCCCTGATACCTTTTACATAGGCTTTTTTGAGTTTGGGCAAGGACACAGGGGCCCCATGATCCCCTATTGCCGGGGGCCCCATGAGTTGTCAGTCCGCCCCTGTTCCCGACCCTTTTTTAAATTACACGGCAGCAAACCTCCAATGGGAGACTAATGGCACCCCCATGCTTCTGCTAAAGTGCAGTGTATTTCTGTACGGGTCAGGAACATGTGTGATTTTGCTCGCGTTCCCCAGTTGCAGAGATGTGAACCTAGCCTAAATATGACTGTGCAGTCCAGTAGACACCAGAGTTAGACCAGTGCACTCTGTAAAGTAACACACCTGCTCATACACATACTCTTCACTTTTCTGCAATACAAGTCTTTATAAGAAGGGGTGTGGCTATTACTCAGCTCTGGTAGCACAGAGCTCTGGAACAGGAAACATATTTTAATCAAGCAAAAATTAATCTCAATTCATAATGTGGAGGCACAGAACTATAAAGAAATAAAAAAAAAAGAGTGAGATCCTAAAAGTGCTTTATATGTTGTAACCCATAGCAGCCAATCAGTATTCAATTGGAGCTTGCTGCATCTGGGCAATATGCCATATTCTTTTTCCACCAGAATGTATGCGTGATCTAAGAATACATTTATGGTAGATATATCATGCTATAAAAAGGTATGTAGGTATGTTTGTATGTTTGTTTCTGGTGTTCAACCTATCCCTTACTTGTTCGTTCCTGCAGTTCCTCTAAATATATAAATGGCACCATTGGCTGCAAAGACTTCTATGCCAACGTTGGAGCTGCGAATGTGAGCATCCTGCAGAAAGGATCTAATCTTCGAAACAACCTGCTATCTCAGGCTCTCTCTTGTTTGGTGAGTAAATCTTAAATTGCATCAGAAGCTTTGTAAGTGTTAACATTTTGTCAAAAATTAAAACTGAGAAAAAAATATAGAGAAAAGGGGAGTAAGGGACCATTTATGTAGTTTGATCTTAAGAAATATATTGAGCAGGTCAGGTCAGACTTCCCATTTGATGAGCAAAGTCAGGAGTTTTCACTTTCTTACTCTCACAGAAAAGTAGAAGATTTTTGCAAAATATTGCCAATTTGCTGAAATGCGTTGGAAGCAATGGAAAGGTGAAATTAGGTTTTGCTGGTTTTTAAGGTTGCTCTAGCACCTAATGGTTTCAAAAGCTCCTTTCAACTATCCTGGACCTGTTCCTGTACCAGAAGGTTCCCTCGTTAGTTTTTTTTTATGGAAAGTAAAGTTAAAGGAGAAGCTCTTTTGGTTGTTTATCTCCTGTAGGTCAAAGGAATGCACTTCATTCTGCACTCCTGTGATCCATATTCACCTGACAGTGGGCTAATGTCTGCTGTCGGCTGATGTCACTCAATTGGTCAAGACTCTGCAGAGATCCCGATTTTAATTTTGACGCCATTGAGAGCCTGAGCCAGCCACTCCCTCCCCTCCACATCCACTCCAGTGAGCACTGGAGGGGAGCTGAAAGAAGTGACTGACAGTCAATCTGCTCTCTGCTCACTGAAGACGGAGAACTGAGTGGTCAGCAGTCATTCAATCAATAAATCAGACTCTCACTATAACCACCCCCAAGAAAAGTCACACTTTCACCCTTCAAAGTAAAATACTCAAACCTTTTCTCTGGATAAACTCAAAACCCCTTACCTCATGAATAACACCCAATAAGTTGTAAAATAAAATAAATAACTAAAATAAAATTAAATGAAAAAAATATATACACAACTCCAAAACTAAAGTGTCCAAAAAAAAAATATATATGTGTCCAAAATTTTCAAATATCAGTAGTCCTCCAACATATTTAGTGTATCCAACTTATTTCTCCATTCCACTAAGTTCCAATAAGTTGGATACTCTAAATATTTTGGAGGACTACCGATATTTGAAATTTTCTGACACATATACAGTGAGGAATAGAAGTATTTGAACACCCTGCGATTTTGCAAGTTCTCCCACTTAGAAATCATGGAGGGGTCTGAAATTCACATTGTAGGTGAATTCCCACTCTGAAAGACAGAATTTAAAAAAAAATATTCAGGAAATCACACATTGTATGATTTTTAAAGAATTTATTTGTCTTGCACTGCTGAACAGAAGTATTTGAACGCCTAAGAAACAGCGAGAATTCTGGCTCTCAAAGACCTGTTACTGTGCCTTTAAAAAGTCCACCTCTACTCCACTCATTAATCTAACTTAGTATCACCTGCCTGAGCTCTTTAAAGACACCTGTCCACCCCACAGTCAGACGCCAACTACTACCATGGGCAAGACCAAAGAGCTGTCAAAAGACTCCAGAGACAAAATTGTGGACCTCCACAAGACTGGAAAGGGCTACGGGGCAATTGCCAAGCAGCTTGGTGAAAATAGATCAACTGTTGGAGCAATTGTTAGAAAATATGGAAGAGGCTAAAGACGACTGTCAGTCTCCCTCAGACTGGGGCTCCATGCAAGATCTCACCTCGTGGGGTATCACTGATGATAAGAAAGGTGAGGAATCATCCCAGAACTACAAGGGAGGAGCTGCTCAATGACATGAAGAGAGCTGGGACCACACACCCAGTTTCAAAGGTCACTGTCAGTAGAACACTACGCCGTCATGGTTTCAAATCATGCATTGCACAGAAGGTTCCCCTGCTCAAGTCATCACATGTCCAGGCCCGTCTGAAGTTTGCCAATGACCATCTGGATGATCCAGAGGAGGCATGGGAGAACGTCATGTGGTCAGATGAGACCAAAGTAGAACTTTTTGGTCTAAACTTCACTCGTCGTGTTTGGAGGAAAAAGAAGGATGAGTTGCATCCCAAGAACACCATCCCTACTGTGAAGCATGGGGGTGGTAACATCATGCTTTGGGGGTGCTTTTCTGCGACGGGGACAGGACGACTGCACTGTATTAAGGAGAGGATGAATGGGGCTAATTATTGTGAGATTTTGAGCAACAACCTCCTTCCCTCAGACAGAGCATTGAAGATGGGTCGTGGCTGGGTCTTCCAATATGACAACGACCCGAAGCACACAGCCAGGATAACTAAGGAGTGGCTCCGTAAGAAGCATATCAAGGTTCTGGAGTGGCCTAGCCAGTCTCCAGACCTAAATCCAATAAAACATCTTTGGAGGGAGCTGAAACTCCGTGTTGCTCAGCGACAGCCCCGAAACCTGACAGATCTAGAGGAGATCTGTGTGGAGGAGTGGGCCAAAATCCCTGTTGTAGTGCAAACCTGGTCAGGAACTACAGGAAACGTCTGACCTCTGTAATTGCAAACAAAGGCTTCTGTACCAAATATTAACACGGATCTTCTCAGGGGTTCAAATATTTATGTTCAGCGGTGCAAGACAAATACATTCTTTACAAATCATACAATGTGATTTCCTGAATTTTTTTTTAAAAAGTCTGTCTCTCAGAGTGGGAATGCACCTACAATGTGAATTTCAGACCCCTCCATGATTTCTAAGTGGGAGAGAACTTGCAAAATCGCAGGGTGTGTTCAAACACTTCTGTTCCTCACTGTATATATTTTTTGGACACTTTAGTTTTGGACTTGTGTATATATGTTTTTCATTTAATTTTATTTTAGTTATTTATTTTATTTTACAACTTATTGGGTGTTATTCATGAGGTAAGGGGTTTTGAGTTTTTCCAGAGAAAAGGTCAGAAGTCATTGACTGATTGCTCAGTTTTCAGTTTTAAAAGAGGAGAGGGACAGATGGAGCATTGGATCAAGCTGCGTAAAAAAAAAAAAAAAAAAAAAAAAAAAAAAACAATAATACAAAGAACACATACAATAAAATCAACTACCCTAAATAACCCCCCCCCCCCAAAAAAAAAAAAAAAAAAGAAAAGCATCCTCTACATAAAGAAAAAAATAAAAATAAAATAAATAAGTGAACTTATTTTTTTTATCAGTCACATTTCTGCAAAACAAATTAGAAATCTTGGCAGGAGTTGAGTTCACTCATGCTAATCGATTACCTGGTGTCTCAGAATGTTACAGGCTCTAATCTGACAGATGCAAACATCCAAGTCCTTGGTCAGTTGACCTGTGACCTGAACGCCACGTTCATTGAGAGTTCCTCAGGATCAGGAACTTTACTTTCATACTTGTCTCAGTGTAAATCCTTCACCGATACTCAGAAGACCTCCATCCAAAAAGTTCTCAGCAGTGCAAGCTCAACGTTTGGGTAAGTACAACTTTTTAAATACATTTTCTTCATGTACAGTGTTCAGGGCTAAAAAATAAATGGTTCAAAAAATATTATTGCTAATCAGGTTATTATAAAGAATGTTTTGCAGAACCACAAGGTAGCTAAGGTTCTGCAATATATTCGAAGTGCTGGGGAGATCAGATTACATACACTGCAGACTTACACACAAACAGAACACATTCTAGCCATTTTTTTGGCTTGTTTTGGATTCGGCAGGAGAGAGGAAAACCTTTTTTAATGCTGTCTGTTGAGATTTCTTCCCACTTTATATGAAATATATGAAAGTTTTGCCTACAGCTGGGCTTCAGGGCATGTAAAGTGGCAGCTGAGATTGTGTGCAAAGATATGTTCCGGATTATAGTCTGAACATCTGTTTGCTTTGTGTAAAAACACTGTTTGACTTCTCTGATCCTCCCCTTCTTCCAGTGCCCCCTCTTATCTCCTGATCAGACATATTCTGTGGAGTCACTCTGCACAAACTCAATTTGGTGTGTATTGCTAGAGAGGTTTTTTTTTCTTGGGGGAGTGCATATGATCATCACAGGGCCAATCAGCACTGTCCAGGCAGAGGTCAGGGGTTCTGCATCTTCCTAGAGCAGAATGAAAACTCCTCCTACAAGCTATACTAGTGCTCTGTTGGACACTGATAGAAGTCACAAGACTGATGAGAAAAGGTATTTAGCAGTATATATATTACTAAAATAAATTTATAACATACAACATGCAACAGTACATACAAAATGCATTTCCATGTTGTATGTACTGTGGGAGACCAGATATAGTGAATGCAGGGTCCGGGGAGACCAGATATAGTGATCGCAGGGTCTGAGAGACCAGATATAGTGAATGCAGGGTCCGGGGAGACCGGATATAGTGAATGCAGGGTCCGGGGAGACCGGATACAGTGAATGCAGGGTCCGGGGAGACCGGATATAGTGAATGCAGGGTCCGGGGAGACCGGATACAGTGAATGCAGGGTCCAGGGGGAGACCGGATATAGTGAATGCAGGGTCCGGGGAGACCGGATACAGTGAATGCAGGGTCCGGGGAGACCGGATATAGTGAATGCAGGGTCCGGGGAGACCGGATATAGTGAATGCAGGGTCTGGGGAGACCGGATATAGTGAATGCAGGGTCCGGGGGAGAGCGGATATAGTGAATGCAGGGTCCAGGAGACCGGATATAGTGAATGCAGGGTCCGGGGCTTAGTAACACTTTAACTAACATATTAATATTAATGAATATATTTTATGCATATTGTTACCTTTAAATTCCTCCCATGTGTAGACACCCAAAAACCCTGAGACTGCTACTGTGCGTAATGTCAGCAGCAGTCACTCAGTTGACACTCTGTAGTATTTATCTTTGCTCATCCCCTGGCAGCTACATAAAAGGCTATGTAAGGAGGTGAAGGAAGGGGTAGAAGCGCGCTGGGCCAGCACAGACAGTAATTAGTCATTTACAGAAGAAGAGAGGGCTATGACTCTCCTGGAGTAGTCAACATTTCTAGCAAGTTTAACCGCCTATTGCAAGTAATGAAAATAACTTATAGAATGGAAAAACATTGCAAGTCAGCTTTTAAAATGTTTGATTTGCTTTTACCTGAAATTTGGTGACAGTCCCTTTAATGAAATAATTACCCAGACGGGAATTGCCCAGAGCGGGGAAGTAAAACACTAATCTTTTAATAAATATGATTTTTAATTGTATGACAGGGTCTCTTTTAATGAATGATACCAGGCCATCAACATTTTTTGTCATGGTGAAGTAGGAAAACTTTGCAGCTAATTTATTCTGTTTATATCTCAATCTATCAAGGTCTTCATCCACCTGGACACCAGACACACTAAATTCACTTGGAGGAATATCTGCATTTTTTAAACCAGTCCTTAATAGCAAATATTCCTAGTGTAAGTATGTGGCATGAGGGTCTATAATTGTTGTTAGTGCATTAATAGGCTCTAAATTGTATGCAACTCTAGCATTTACCAGAAAGGCTAATGTACTTGGAGTTTTGTAGATTTTAAAATCTATAAAAACTCAACAACTTTTCTTATTTGCTTCCTTGTGGTCTCTTATATATGAATAAAGGCATTTTGTTATATTTTTGATAAGTGCAAAATTACCAGTTGTTACTGTCAGAATTCCACTTTGTGCACTTTGCAGTTATTGGACCTGTCCATTTCTCCTCTGAGAACTACAAAACACATCCCCCATCCTCTGGAGGGATGTTCTGTAGTTCAAAGAGGAGCTATGGGGCAGAGCTGAGTACACTGCAGAGTGCACAGGATCTTTTGAGCTCCCTGGATTTCTAAAAGGATCTGTAGTCCAAGTCAGGTTGGATCAGCTTAAGGCAAGGTGCTCTTCTATAGATACAGTATCATGATTGAGGGTTGTCACCCCACCCCCCCCAAGAAATGTGTTGGTGGTGCCACCAGATGAAAAAAAAGGAAGAAAAAGCTGAAAAAAAAAGAATGCAGCTTCTATATCTAAGCTCTGATGAGCTGCAATAGATTACATTTATGTTCTTGGGTTTAGATAAACTTTAGGGCCTTGTTAACAATTAATCCGCATTTCCAATGGCCACCAGTGAGTTAACACTGCTGCTAAATGCGTATTGAAGTGACTACAACCATGCAATCATGGTGCAATTGCAGATTTCCCCCCAAACAAAAATAGCCATCCAGGATCGGTATATCAGCTCTGAAAAGCGCTCCACCACAGATGGATTTTTAGAGCTCTCAGAAAACAGCTGCCAGTGTGAACAAGGCTTATCATGAAGCAGCTTGATGCAGCTTAGTAAGAAAGATCAGCAGCAGGTCAGAAACGCATTTTAAACTCATGCACTGATCACTGATTCACTGAAACCGATCACTGAGGGCACTGAAAATATGTTGCACGAGACATCACTGTTTTTTTAGAATCCCAATTCAAAAAAAGTTGGGAAGCTGTGTAAAATCTGCATAAAACAGAATGCAATGTTTTGCAAATACACCATATTTTAACCCATATTTTATTCACAATAGAAACACACCAAATGTTTAAACTGAGAAAACCATTTATCAGAAAAAATAAGGTAATTTTAAAATTGATAGCAGCAACATGTCTCAAAAATGTTAGGACAGCAAAAAGTTAGCAAAGTAAGTTGTACTTACATAGAGGAGCTAAAAGAGCATTTTGCAACTAATTAGGTTAATTTTCAACAGGTCAGTAACATGATCGGGTATAAAAAAAATTCCTCATATTTCTTCTTCTTCTTCTTCTTCTTCTTCTTCCTCCTCTTCCTCCTCTTCCTCCTCTTCCCTCCTCTTCTTCTTCTTCCTCTTTTTTCTTCTTTTCTTCCTCTTTTCTTAGAGAGTCAGAGTGTCTCAGAAGTAAAGATGGGCAAAGGTTCACCAATCTGCATCTAAAATTTGTTGAACAATTTCAAAATAATGTAAACTTGCAAAAGCACAGTTTGCCCTGCCATCCATAAATGCAAGTTAAAGCTCTATTGTGTAAAGAAGAAGCCATATATGAATATGATCCAGAAACGCTGCTATCTCCTCAGGGCCAAAGATCATATAATAATGGTCTGTTGCAAAATGGAAAACTTTTCTGTGGTCAGAAGAATCAAAATTTTACATTCTTTTTGGCAGCCATGGGGGTCGCTATGTCTAAGGGACCTCCCGGCTTGTAATCAGCGCTCATTTTAAAAGCTGCATGTATCTCTGATGGTATGGGGGTGCATTAGTGCGTATAGAATGGGCAGCTTTCACATCTGGAAAGGCACCATCAATGCTGAAAGATATATCCAGGTTTTTGAACAGCATATACTTCCATCCAGACAATGTCTTTTTCAGGGAAGGCTTTGCATATTTCACCAGGACAATGTTAAACTGCATAAAGCATCTATGACAAGAGCATGGCTGTGCAGTAGAAGAGTCAGGGTGCTTAAAGCAGAGTTCCAATAAACGTTAGCAGCTACAAAAACTGTAGCTGCTGACTTTTAAAAAACAGCCACTTACCTGTCCCTCGGTGCCGTGGTGTGTCCCCCGCAGCCCGTTTCACCGGCTGTCTTTTATTCCAGGAGGCCGGCATCTTCAGTGTGGGCACCCGGCTGTGACAGCTTGTGGCTTCACAGCCGGGTACCCACTGTGCATGCGTGAGTAGCGCTGCACTTCATGAATGGTCCTGTGTCTTCTGGGACCTGTCATGTGTCCCAAACGACTACAGGGAGGGGGACACCTTCCGCTTCCGATCACCTAGGCCAGTGGTGGGCAACCTTTTTTTTCAACTGAGCTAAATCTCGCCAAAACCACGATTGAAATTTATTTTGAGAGCCACATTTTTAAAACTGAAAATACATAGGATGGTACACTGTTTTTAGTTTCAATAAGTTTTTATAGTAATTCATCCCCCATATAGTAATTCATCCCCCATATAGTAATTCATCCCCCCATAGTAATTCATCCCCCATATAGTAATTCATCCCCCATATAGTAATTCATCCCCCATAGTAATTCATCCCCCCTATAGTAATTCATCCCCCATATTAATTCATCCCTCATATAGTAGTAGTAAGTAAGTAGCAAGTAGTAAGCCAAGTCCCCCCTGTGTCAATTCACTTACCTTTGCTCCGCGCGTTCCTCTCGCCGTGTTCCCGCGCCGTTCCGGTCTTCAGGGGGGACTGTGAGAGGAGCCTAGCTCCTCTCACGTTTGTCATGCTGCCCCGCCTACACACATCCTGACAGCCAATCACTGGCTATCAGGATGTGAGTGGCAGCGAGACTGGCCAATCATTGCATTTGAGCGCGCTGCCCTGGCTGTTTTTTTTTTGGATCACGCTGCAGAGTCCCTGCCGCCCGAGAGGAGGGAGGGGAGCGGGCGCCGGCACACAAGAGCCGCATTAAAGCGTGTAAAGAGCCGCATGTGGCTTGCCGACCACTGACCTAGGCGATCGGACCGGAAGTGGGAGTGGGTACCTGTCAAATTTGGGTACCCGCTCCCCCCCCAAGGTGCCATTCCATAATGGCAAGCGGGGGGAGCAGTCCTTAAAGCAGAACTTCCCCTTTTGGGTGGAGCTCTGCTGTTCAGGGATTTCACGGCTTTACACCTGAAATGAATAACCTTGCAGCACGAGAGTTCCAGATCATATATTTATTAGTGATAATACAATTGTATGAGAGCACCCATGCCCTGCCCATCAGATGCTCTGATTAGATTGATTGCAGTTCACATTTTTATAGGGTTCTTTATGGCTGGCTGCCCACCTTTATGCTTTTCAGTTACACTTCAGAATATCTGTCTAACAGCTAGTCCAGACACTTTACCAACATTCATCATTACTCAGCAGTCTTTAACATTTTACAAAAACATCATTTAAAAGCCTTTTAGCAGCAGAAGCCATTTTAGCTGCTAATTGAATATGATTTGATATATATATCACCTTATCAAAATATAACAACAATAATAGCCATGTCTAATACAATAGACCTTAACCTAAGACACTAGTGTATATGTATATATATATATATGTATATGTGTGTATAAACTGATTTATTTATTATTTATTTATTACAGGTGCTTATATAATACTGTCAATTTACTCAGCACTTTGCATATATATTGTACATTCACATCAGTCCCTAACCCTCAAGGGGCGTACAATCTAAGGTCCCTAACTCACATTCATACATACACATACTAGGGCCAATTTAGACAGGATCCAATTAATCTACCAGCATGTCTTTAGAGTGTGGAAGGAAACCGGAGTACCCGGAGGAAACCCACGCAGGCACAGGGAGAACATGCAAACTCCAGGGAGGTGGTGCCGTGGTTGGGATTTAAACCCACAACCTGCGTACTGCCAGGGGGAAGTGCTAACCATTTAGCCACAGATTTAAACAGTCTTATTATTGTTATTTCATTATAATATATTGTTATGATGTAGGATATAGTAAGGACCACCTTTATCCCTATACACTGCTTTAACTGGCTTGACAGCAGTCCAGACCTTTCACCAATTGAAAACAATTAGCTCATCTTGAAACAAAAAATATGACAAAGAAGACCCAGGACTGTTGAGCAGTTAGGATCCTATATTAGGCAAGAATCAAACAACATTTCTTTCCAAAAACTCTAACAACTGGTCTTGTCAGTTCCCAGACATTTATTATTATTATTATACAGTATTTATATAGTGCTAAAAGGTTTGCTCAGCG